AGGTTATTGATGAGATAAAGAGCTTCGAGAAGGCAAGCTTGTTCGATCTTGGTCATCCTCTTCTCAACCGCATCGCCGATTCTTTTGTCAAAGCCGCCGGAGTAAGTTTTCCGGTCATATGTATATAGAAGATGTATAAAGTATGTTATATTAAGAATTTAAGATAAGCTTAAAAAATGGGTTGTTATAAAGGTTGGAGCTTTACAAGCGGTGACGAGGGAAGGTTACTTTACGGTGGTTGAAGGTAAAAACTCCGGCGACTTTCTTCTTCTTCTACTTCCTCATATATGAGTTTAGAAATTTTGATGAATATATATATGTCTACCTAAAACTTTGGTTAAGGGGCAGGATTTGACTCGAGCAACGTGGGTCCACCGTCGGAGAATAACAGCAGCAAGAAACATAGGTTCCCTAATCTCAGAGGTTCGTTATGTCGATTAACATTTGGTTGATAAGTAGATATATATTTTAATTAATTTGCTGTTATGTTAATGTTAAAAGTCTTTTTATCAATGGATGTTTTATTTTCAGGGGAAAGCAGCAACTCTATTGAAGCATTGGTAAGTCTAAGTAGACTAAGTTACAAAATGCTAATTAAACTTTTATTTACGTCGAATATTTGTCCGCACATGTGCATGTGTGTTGTAACGTGTGTCTAAAGCTAACTAGGCAAGGCACAAAGGTTTGTGTTAGTTAAGTGACGTTTGGTACGTTCGTTGTTGTCTCCGTGCGTTTGTGTTGCTACGTACGTTTGCTTGTAAAGCAAACAGAATACACACATATATTGGGGGATCATATGAGGTTTTATGTTAGTTAATTGAGGAGTTTGAATGTCTCTAGGTGAAGAACACTGGAAAAGAATCTCTCCAATGGGGTGAGTTTATACATAAATGTTAATCTTTCGTGATTAACCATATAAAAATATTTAATCAAGGTTTGGTATTGTAGGGCTAGCCGCCGGATTGTACTCGGGTATAACTTACGGTATGAAGGAGGCTCGTGGAGGAGCTCATGATTGGGTGAGTCAAATATCAGTTAACATTATCATTTTCGAAGTTGTATCATCAATGGACGAACGATTTGATTGTTATTTAATTTTTCGGTATTTATATCGCAGAGGAACAGTGCGGTGGCGGGAGCATTGACAGGAATTGCAATGGCTATGACCTCGGAGGGGACTAGCCATGAACAAGTGGTTCAGTCCGCTCTTACCGGGGCAGCTATTTCCACCGCGGCGAATCTCCTTTCTAGCGTTTTCTAGAAGATTTTAGTTATAGTAGCTTTTAAATTAAGGGGTTGTTATGTGTTAGCTATAATAGCAAATCTTTGCTTTTCTTTTCAATTTCTCTACGGTTTATTAAGATTGTCTGAAACTCTGAATGTCGGTTTAAACAAATGTCTGTTTTATTCGTTCTTTCACAGAATTAATTGCTGTTAATTAGTAGAAATTTAAATTTTTGTTGAGATCATAATAAATTTTTGTTGGATAAAATCGTGGGTCATGTGCCCTCAAACAAGGAATGCTGCCTGTACGACTGAGACCCGTGAAAGGCCGTTTTAGATATTTGGGAGTATTTGTAGGGACCGTATTTGTATCATCTACGAATAACAAATTGACGTTTATGGGCAGATGAAAAATGTATTTTTTTTAACAAAAAATGTAAATTTCTTAGAGGAAACTAATAATAGTGGCAAGCACTCATTCAAATTTCATCGAGTGCTCATACAGAAATTTTTAATCTTTCTTTACACAATTAGAGATTATTAAGAACAATACACAAGTAGAGATCGTATCATCGAGTGGTCATACTTAGG